TCCAGACGAGCCACTCGTGGTTGTGTCCCATTCCCCAACTGTGCAGGGCCTGCCTCTGCTCCAGCCCCACTCCCTCCCTCATAGCTGGGGAGTGCACATGCCCACCCCATCTGTGTGCAGAGGAAGCAGCTGCCATTGTAGGCTGGGCTTTGCATCCCAAGCCCCACTGCAGCTGGCTTGGGAGTGGCCCCACACCATGTGTGTCCTGCCACTGGGCTGAACCTCGTGCCCTGCCCGCCCAGTTGCTGGACACGTGGCATCGGGCTGCTCCCAGGCAGGCTGCAGTGGGGCTCAGGGTGCAAAGCCCAGCCCACAATGGCAGTTGCCTCTGCCGTGCACAGATGGGGGGGCATGTGCCCCCTAGGGCCTCTGCCAGCAGGTGTGCACAGTGGCATGAGCCCCCCTCTCCCCACCGCATGCCTATGGATGAGCCTGGGCTCAATCCTCCCATCACCTACCCAGCCAAGGCCCCACTCATGTGTGGCATTCTGTCCCTTGTCGTGGGGGCCTTGATCTGGACCCTGCCTGTTCCCTCCCCCATGAACTGACCTGCTGGGCTGGGGGTGGGGTGCACATGTGCATGCATGCATGCGGTCAGTTGCCTCCCCTAGCCTCAGATCAACCCCAAGAGGCTCTGAGATTGACTGGTTGATTAAGATCGACCAGTTGGTGACCACTGTTCTAAACAGTCCATCCTATACTCTTGTCCAATGACCTACATGTTTTCCACCCATAGGCGGAGGAAGAAAATAATGTGGGGGGAGGGAGGGGCTAAGCGTGTGCTCATGCATGTGCATTCACTCCCCCCTTCCCAGGGGGGAAAGTCTGCGGAGGGAAGAGGTGGGAGGAGGTGAAAGGGCTGTGGGGGCAAGGGGTGTTACCCAGCAACACGCTGGCCCTGTCCCAGGCTCCAGCTGCTTCCCTGCCCCTGGCCCTGGCCCTGGCCCTGCACTGCCCAGGGGGGCCTGGAGCTGTGAGCCAGAGTGGGGCCACCCTCGGCTGTACCGGCAGGCTGGAGGGGATGGAGCCCCTGGGACCCCCGCACACGCCCTGCCAGGCCCTGCACAGTGTGGGCAGGTGGGGCAGGGCGTGGGACAGAGCCATGGCTCATCCAGGGGGGCACGGGGAGGGGCAGCAGCTCATGCTGCTGCGTGTGTCCCAGGAGGCATGGGGGGTGCGTGCTCCTGGATCTGCACAGGGCTGCCTTTTGGGCTAGGCTGGGCTGGGCTGGGCTGGGGCAGTTGCGGGCTCTTCCCAGTGGGCGGCAGTGTTGCTGGGAGGGGGGTCAGGTGGGCTATGCCAAATCTTGGGGTGGCTGCAGCCCCGCCTCAGCCCTCTTCCAATACTGTCACCACCTGCCCCAAGCATAATCTACCTCCCCCCTCCCCCCTGGGAAGAGCCAGGCCCCAGCCCACATCTGCAGTGTGCACTGCCCCACGCAGATCCAGGGGCACGTGCCCCCCATGCCTCCCGGGTTATGCATAGCAGCAGGAGCTGCACCCCCTTATGAGCTGCTCGGGTTTCAGTCCCGCACCCCTCCTCGAGCCCCTGCTCCTCCCCCAGCCCTAGCCCCACTCTCTCCCTCACCACTGGAAGCCCGCAGCCGGGCTGCCTTGTGGCCCTACCACTGCCCTACATTTGAGAGGGCTAAGCCCTACTAGCCTTCCCCATCTGCTGCCTGTGTTCCCACCTCTCCAAAAATACGGTTTAGCTGCTGAATAAAATGTTCTTGTAACTGTTTGGAACTGGATCCTTTAAGTATACTTATTTTGTTTCTTGTTTAGCTATATTTACTAAAGCTGGCTGACTGATGCTTGCTTATTTCTGAACAACGCTTTGTGTCAGCTAAAATGTAAAAAAATCCTCTTAAGTAGGATGCTTATGGGTAAGAAGAATTTTGTGAATGTAGTACATGAACTCTGGGATCTATTCCTGCTACTGCCACACACTTTACTGTGTGATTCTGGGCAAATGACTAACTTATCTGTTCCACATTTTCTCATTTTTTTAAATAAAAGAACTCTTTCCTTGCTGCATGTGAGGCTTAATCAGATTAGTTGTGTTTGTAAAGTATTTTGAAAATACCATATTGAAAATATATTGGAAATCCAGAGCCAAAAAGAGCCAGGTAGGATATTTGCAATTGGAACATATTTTATACAGTAAAATAAAAGGGCTCAAATATATAATCAGGTGAACAAGATTGATCTAAAAGGAAATTCAGAGGTTTCTTTTGACCTTTCAACAAAAATTATGTAAGCATTGTTGTATTATAAATTGTTCTTTGTTTTACTTCTCTTTATTTTACTCTGAAAGGAAACACTGGGTTAGTTGTTCATTATGGAAAGATAGGACAGGGCTTTGTATTTTAATACAGTGTAAACAATTGTTCACTGTTGTTTATTTGTATAGTTGCTATACTGCTTAGGAATTAGAGTTTGCTGGTCTCATCATTTCTTTGTAATTAAAAAGATATTATCACTAAAACCACAAGAATAAAATTCTATAGATGTGGAAAAGAAAAGAGAAAAGAGAAGAAAAGAACCTGTAATCCAGTTAAACAACTATCTTTACTTTGCTTCTTTCCTGCCTTAGGAGTAGCTGTAACTGAAGAACAATGAAATCAAAGTACACTTCAGTTAGAGGAGTATGAACATCAGAATTATTACCCTTTTTTCTGAATCCACCAAAACTTATAGCCTGAAATCAGCGTGGTGTGAAATGCCTTCCTACAATTTTACAAATGGAGTCATTGGAATCAAAATTCTCTCTGAACCATATTTCAGATCTTTCTATTGCATGTTCTTCTTGCAGTACTCCCACTGTTGTCAATGCAAGTTTGATTCAGGGAATGATTACAGAATATGCAGTAAAGATCTGCACTGCAGCCAGAAATATGTCTTGTGGATTGGAAAAGAAAATTTTAACCATTGATTGGAAGCCTTGAATTTAGCATTTCTGTAAGTGTTTACATATAATGAGACTATCTACAGTTACTTTAGATAGGACTTTTAAAAAATCTGGATCAAACCTAGGCCCATATCATATTCCACTTTGGGGGTCTCAAAGGGGGTGCATGACTGTGGCTGGGGGTGTTGTCACTTTTGTGCTTTCCCTTATTTCCTAAATACAAGTTCAATAAACTTCAGTAAACTGCAACAGACCAGAGTTTGAGGTATGCTTGCCTGACATGTTGGGAAATGTTTGAACCCATTCTTTTGAGTTCCTAGGGGCTGCAGTGGGGTAGGCAGGAGCATGATGAGGGGCTGTGCTAGAGTAGGGAGTGAGGGCACAGCTGGTTGTTAGGTAGCTTTTATTGATCAAGCTGTGCAAGGGAGCTCATGGATTAAAACGTGCCAACAGAAGAAAGCAAATGGGCAGTAGAGTTCTGGCTGTACACCAGAGTGGGCAGTTAAAAGGGTGCCTATACACATGCTCTGGCATGGGGGAGGGGGCATTTCAATTAGAGTGGCTCTTGGGAGCTGCTCTAATTAAAAGGCTGTAATGTCTTGTGTATTCCGTGTCCACGTTTCAAAATGGCAGTGGGGGCTTTAGTTAAAGCACCCCACTGTATTTTGAAACACAGGATGCTGAATACACAAGATGCTGCATCACGCTCCAGCAGATTTGATTAAGTCTGCTCCAACACGTTCTAATCAGAACGTGTTGGAACACATGTACAGACACCCTATGTGTTGGGGGAAGAAGTAAGGCAGTGTGGGGTGCCTGGAGGACAGACCAGACCCATGCTGTAGAATGCTTGGTGTCCACACAACACTGAACACAAGGAACCAGGTCAAAGTAGAATTTGATTTGTTAGGTATACTTTTGAAATGTTGCAGGCTGATTTAAACCAGGCTAGTGGGCATGTATGCCTGTCCACTTGAGGTTTAAACTTCATTTAAACCATTGTAAGTGTTGTGAGTCCATGCCCTTGTCCCTCCCCATCCTCTACCCCCCCAAAAAAACCAAAACCCAAAAACAACCCAATAAGGAGAAAGAGGACCCATGTACCCATTTTAGATACTTAGAAGCCTCAGTGCACTTAGATGTCCAAAAGATGGAATAGGATATGGCCCTTAATGTTGCAGCATATAAATCAATCTCTAAATGAGGGTAAGTCTGAAGAAACTTTCCATATGGCAAAATTGTCCACACTGGCGGTGAAATTCTGTTACTATTTGGTCATCTAGATTCTATTTCATCCAGGCTATTAGACCCAATGGCCACTTAGATGACTAAATGCTAATAAACTGTCACCTGAATGTTTTGGATGTTTTTGCTGAACTATTTGGTACTGTCCCAAGAAAAGGACTGGATGGACTATTCATCTGATCTAGTCTGGCAGCTCCTAGGTCCCAGAAATTATCCTTCCACCAATTAGAGTGAAATCTTATCAAAAGCATGTGTGTCTAAAAACATTCAACAGGCTGTTCCTCCATATAATTAAGAAAAGTTTAGCCTCAAACTCAAGTAGGTGGCCTTAAAATCTTACCCCAACATGAAATAATGGGGAAACCCAAAAAAGCTGCACCATGAAACATTCAAAATCTCCAGAAGGAAGAAAAATACTGCTTACCATTTTCCTTTTTACAGTCTGAGTTACTACTTTTGTTTTGTTGTAAAATAGGAATAATACACATAGTATTGGAATACAGTTGCAGTTAAAAGGCTTTTGCAAATATCAAACTTTTTTTCACTTTCATTTTTAATCAACTGCAAAATCCATTCATTCTTCTTACACTTCTTTACCAAGAGCATTATCTAGTCCATAATTACTTATTGTGATATCTTTCTTTCATTAAGACAAATGAGAATGAATGGACAGAATTTTGTGTATGGGGAAAAGACCCTTGCATTAGAAAATGGTACTAAAGCATTCTTATAGCCCAATTCAGTTTATTTTCAACTTATTTTTCAATAGATGCCAATCAAACCTTGTAAATTACCCAGTGCCAAACAAACTGTATTTTGGTATCCTTTCTTGATAAACTACAAGCATTTCACAGCATTCTTTCAGGCTGCAGACTATTACCTCAATCCACAATTCTGCTATTAAATAATGTTTTCTATGGCACTATTTGGCATTTGATAAAGTTGTTTCTACATTGTCTTATCCATTGTTTTATCTTTCCTCCCAGTTGTCTTTTCCCTACTCTCATTGTCACTTTTATATGAAACTAGCCAATTGCCCATCAAGAATGACAGTGGGGAGGGGGCGGGGATGGAGTGCCGCCACCCAATGCCCCATGCTGCCACTGTTCTGCCACTTGCAGGGAGCAGGGTGGGGGAGCTGAGGCCAGTGCTGTTGGCCTCAGCTCCTCCACTGCCTGTCCAGTCCTCGGTGCCGCTTGCAGGGAGCGCTGCTGGCCTCAGCTCCCCAATCCCTTGTCTGGTCCTCAGCACAGCTTTGGAATCATGGCAGTGCTCCCCCACGATTGGAGCACTCTGACTGGCTGTTTCCATCAGCCAATCAGAGTGCAGATAAAGTGTTATGGACAGACTTAGGCTTTTTTAATATTAGAATGTTTAAGATTTAAAGAAGTATTTTTTCATGTTTCTTGATTTACTTGCAAATAAAGTTGGTCTCATCCCAATACAATTACTTTTGAACTGTTTCAAATTCATTTCCTTCTTATTCCTATTCCTGAAATGCATCCCTAACATGAACCATGTTGATTGGGAGAAACATGAACTATTTCAGTGCCTCATGATTGGTACATTTGGTATTTATTTTGAATTTTAAAAGCTAAATGAGGAGTTTTGCAATGCTGCTAGTCACATATCAGTAGACAAATGAAAGAATAACTAAATGTTGTGTGCTGATTATTCCATGGTAGCTATTTTTTCAAGACTTTTAAAGATTGTTTTTAAAGTCTTACCATTCTGTCTTGACTTGATGCTTGCACTAATCAGTGTTGCATTTGCAATTATTGCATGCCTTCACATGTATACATTATGAACTAAAAAAGTGAGCTAAAATAATATTAGGGCCAGGTTTGAATATTAGCCTGGATTGAATCCTTGTGATGCTCCACTAATTGAAAGAGGTCTTGAAAGTGGCAGTGGGGCAGTCAATGTCGTAGGAATCCCTTTACAGTATAAAGCCAGCACTCAGGTCTTTGCCATCTGTTCCTTACCAAAGGAAAAGTAACATGTTTGGAGCAGGCTAGGGACAGCAAAAAGCATAGCATTCTAATGATCAGTGGCTGATGAAATGATACCAATGTGGCTTATCTGTATGATTTAGAGCTACTAGTTGGCTTCTCTCATGCACATTGGAGTCTATTCCAGGCCCTGACAGATCCAGCAGCCAAGTGGAGAGGTGTGTAATGCCACCTCTTGATTCCCACCAGCTTCCCCTTAGCTGGGTTAGGCATAGCTCTGGTGTAACTGAGAATCTAGGTCTAATGGAATTCAATTCACAGGATTTAATTAATCCATGTGTAATTCCATGAAGTCAATGGAGGGTGAAAGATGAATTTGCTTCTGTGTTTATTTGAGTTTTATATAAAGTAAATTTTGTACTTATTGGGGGAGCTGGCTTAATAGCTCTGGTAAACATACAAGTGGAACTTAATGTCTGGTTCCCCTGCGCCCCCCCCGCCATTAACATGTGTTTACCATGATTTGTAATGATGAAGTCAGGCTACTAGAGATAAGGCAGTAGTTCATCTCCACAGTATCTCAGTCCTTGGCTTCTCCACTGAAATTGCCAGCAAACCAAATTAGTGTCAATTTGGATGGTGACTTTTGTAATATTGGCATTTGTCCACTATGAAGTGGCCTGTGGCCAGCAACATATATTACTAAAGCCAAATAACAGCATTCTGCTGGTAAGGTTTCATTTTCAGTCCTCTTTAACAGGTATCAGATTTTTTATTAATGATCACAGACCTGACCTTTTGGCCCTTATTCTGGAAAAAAAAAAGGTTCCATTGATTTTAGGGCGTTTTGCCTATCTAAATGCTGTGGGTTCAGGCCCCAGCACAATGCTATTGTCTAGAATCCTACTGTGGTCAAAAGTATACCCAAATTAGCTTTCAGACTTTGGGGAGGGAGGAGGAAGAAATGAGGGAGAGGGAGATGAAGAGAAAAACATGTCTTTTACCCTGTATAGTTATTCTTGCAGTGTTTAATTCTCTGGGGGTAAAGTGGTTGCCTTAATGCAGAACTGGGTGTGTGCCAGCAAGGCAAGTACCTAGTACTAGGGGTGTGCAAAACAGGCCATATTCCATTCGGATTTGGCCTGAATCAGGGACAGTGATTCAATTCGTTGATTTGGATCACTGTCCCTGATTTGATTTGGCTGAATCCAAAGATTTTATCCTAATTTGGATAATCAGCAATTTGGCCATTTCTTATCAATAGAGGACAGAGCAGCAGAAAACCGGAATGTCCTTTATGACGGCCACCCTACCTGAGCAGCGGCTGGAGGGGAGGTGGTGGGAAAGCTAGACTGGGCACTTCTCCTCCTGCCAGGGCGGGGTGGGACAGGGGAAGTGCTGCTGTAAGCGCACCTACTGCTCACACGTGTATGTGTGTGTGGTACCCCATTGACCATGGTGCCCTGGGCCATCACCCACCATTTCTGGGGAGAAAGTGTGGGCACATTGTGTCTCAACACAAGTCTCTGTTGCGCCGTACAGGAGCAGCATAGTCATGTTCCCAGTATGTTGTGGGTCTCTGTTCACTGATGGTTGGCAAATGCCCTGATTAGGGTGGCCATCGTGGTATCTCAAGAATAGAGGACAGTTGCATTGAGGACCACCATGAACATTGCATGCCTCCCGAGGCAGGGGGGCACCGTGAGCTCCTGCAGGCAGCTGTGGCGGGGGCGTGGCGGCAGCGAGTGGGAAGCTCCCGCAGGGCACTGCGGGGGACAGGGGGTGCCAACGGGTGAAAAACAGAGGACATAAAGGCATCCAGTTTAATATCAATAGAGGACAGAGGACCAGAAAACTGGACCGTCCTCTGTGAAACGGGATGAGTGGCCACTTTAGCTCTGACCCCTGGGCAGGAGGTGCTATGGCAGCGCCAGCCCTTATTTCTTCGGCCCCACGCGCGGAGGCGCAGTCCCCAGGGACCTTCAGGTGTGTCTGGGAAGCAGGGGACAGCGCAGCGCAGTCCCTGGCGAGGTCAGGAACGCTCTCGACACCTCGCACCGCTTCACACACAACAAAACCCTGCGGCTTCACCAGGCCGCCGCCCCGGCCCCGGCCCAGCCACAGCTGCCCTGCACGAGCCGCCAGGGCGCTTAGCTGCGGCCAGGCCACGAGCCCGCCCAGCCGCCCGCACGGCTCAGGGGCGGCACCAGTCCGTCCTTCCCGCCTCGCCATTGGCTGCCGCGTGAGCAGCCCAGGCGGCGGGTTGGCGGGCGCGGATGCCAGTCGCGCCGCGCCGCGCCGC